ATTTTATTTTATTTTATTTTATTTTGATCCCACATAGAAATGTGGATCGCCGCGTTTAACGTCTAGGTCAATATGCCCAGCGGTTGACGTTTTTAGAAATCAGGCACAGAATGGATTTTTTTTTTTTTCCTGTTGCTTTTTCTACCTTGGTGACTTTGTCTCGAGTATTTTCTTGTTTCCCGTCAGACTGCCTTCAGTTTTCCTTCTTCTAGACTCTTCGCGTGTGACCTTAGATTATTAATCTCGACTTTCCTTCCTGTTTAGCGTAAACTTTTAACACTGCAATTCTCTTGAATCATCCTTTATTTATTTATATTCCATAGACTCTGAATGCTTTTTAAACCTACATTAACTTTTTGTAGTTTTCCTTACGATTTCTCTCCTGAGCAGCAGATTGATCTTGATCATGTTTTTTACACGCACGTGCCTGCACATCTTGTTCTGACCTTTCTGTGGCTGAGCTGTGGAATAGACTCTGGACAATGCCAAATCTTTCCGACTAGACTTTTATTTAAAATAATTCTGTGTGTGGGGGGGCTTTGCTTACGTGTGTGTCTACACCTCACTTCCGCGTCTTGTGCCCAGCAAGGCTGGAGATCTCGGTTTGGATATCAGTAGCTTTTATTTCACCCTTCCTTTGACTGATACATATATTTTCTATATTATTTCTGTTGTAGATTTTCTTCTTCAGGGAGGGCCTCACATCCAACTAGCCACGCCGCTGTGTGACAAGAGGAGAATTTTGTGCAAACATCACATACTTTAATTGTCCTGTAAATTGCATCTTTACCATTGATGCTTTGACTGATCTATTTAGATTGCTTTATTAATGCAATTAGTAATGTGTTTTGATTCATACATTTCATTATTTTCTGTTTGCTGCCTTTGTCACCACCATGTATTTAAGCCTGACCTCTTTGGCCTGTTTGGGTAATGTCTGACTACATGTTAATCACACAATCTGTTGACTTATGTCTGTGCAGAATTTTGGTTGGGGGGTCCAGGTATTGGAATACACATACTGACCCTTCCCGGTGTACTCAGAATAAACATTTGACCGATCCCAATAGAATTTAGGGATTTATTTTGACAAAGGGATCTTAATCCTCTCCCATTTGTGCCCAATAAATATTCCCTTATAAGTTATTATAACATTTTTTTTTGATCATTGAACATATTTTTTTGTTTCCCGTATCATTTCTATTTTACGTCTGAGTTTGGATTGCGGCCCTGTAGCGCCACACCCGGCCGGTATTTTTTCAAATAAATTTTCTCGTATTTTCCTTCTTTTTTTCTCCGGGAAGAGACTCAGTGGTAAGGTGAGTACCATGAGCACGGCTGAGAGAAAGACCTCAAATATTTTTCAACGTAGAATTCACCTTCCTCTGGGACTCTGAGGTGTGATTATTATACGTTTTAATATTACGTTTTAGCCTCATGAGGTAGAGTTAATTTTTCCCAACCTTTTTTTTTCCTGTCTGTTTTCTATTGATCCTCTTTCCATTATCTGCATTCTGTTATTGAGCACATCCGCTGAGGCCTTCCTGGTGTTCTTTTTTTTAATCTCGGCTATTGTATTTCTGAAATTAGGAAAAAAAAAAAAAAAGAAATACCTGCAAGGAAACAGCTTAGGCAAGGAACAAATGGTTTTGTTTTTTGTTGTTTGTTGTTTGTTTTTTTTTTTTTTTCGGGCAGATAGCTGCAGAGACTTCCTGTCTTGTTACAAACAAAAGAAAAAACAAAAAAAAAAAGGAATTAATTGAGGTCTGGAGATGGTGTGCACCGCTCCTGAAGAGAATCCGACGCCCTCTTTCGGCTTCTGCAGGCTCTGTGCACGTCTGTGCACACACCCAAACGGTGCACGTGAAATACACATAATTAAAAACAATAGCATTCATTAAACTCATTTGCTTGGGACCTGGCTCTCCCCGGCCACCTCTGGACTCTCAGGCTCGAACCCAGGTCCTTGTCCCCGCAGGCCAACCGCTCTCCTAGCTGGGCCACCCTGTCTTTTTATTAAACCTTTTATTTTTTTTTAAATATATATATATTTATTTACTTATTATGCATACAATGTTCTGTCTGTGTGTATGCCTGCAGGCCAGAAGAGGGCACCAGACCCCATTACAGATGGTTGTGAGCCACCATGTGGTTGCTGGGACTCGAACTCAGGACCTTTGGAAGAGCAGGCAATGCTCTTAACCTCTGAGCCGTCTCTCCAGCCCCCCGTGAGCTATTTTTAAAAATGTACATGATCTTAAAGAAAATTAATTTTCAGCTTAAACGATCACAATAAATTAAGCAATTTATTCTTGATAAAAAAAAAAAAACCTAAGCTTTCAAACGTAAAGAAAATCCTAGCATTTTATTTTAAAAGACAAACCCATTATTCGCTGCTTCTATTAGTTGAGAACAAAAACGTTTACCTCTAACATTTCAAAGGAAATGTTCGTTCTCCCATTATTTTATCTAAAATTCTTTTAAAATAAATCACGTAAGGATGTAAATCATGGTTAGTGAAAATTTAATAGTTTGTGCTATAAAGTCTGAGCCCTAACTCTACCGGAGCTGTGTGTGAACACTTGAGAAACGTTGGTGATATTTAATAAGAAAGAGAGACAAAAGGGAAAAACGACACTACTTAAGAATGATTTTTGAAGGCGCGTGAGGCAGCCTGTGCCTTTAATCCCCGTCCTCAGAAGGCAGAGGCAAGTAAATCTCTGTGAGTTCAAGCCCAGCCTGGTGTAAGAAGTGAGTTCCAGGACAGCCTGTCTAGAAAAAAAAAAAAAAAATAGGAGTTATATTGAAAATTAAAATAAAGCAAAATGATAAGGCGCGTATAAATGACCCTAACTTTCAATTTTTTCCAAAACAACTGCCAGCTGCCAAGGAATGCGTACACGTAAAACGTGAAACTCCCCACATGATCAAACTGGAAACCGGGGGCACAAAGCCAGTCTCCCAGAAGTTGAGGTGTGAGGTCCTGTGCATGGATCAGCCCTGGTTTTACTGCAAAACTCATGTTGATTAGAATAAATAATATCAGTGGAGTGGTCCTTAGTGGGCCTAGAAGAGCTCTGAAAGTTTAATGTTCTTTAACCGCAAATCATATTTGTAATAGGTGAGGCTCGTTAGCATATGCACACACACTTTAGTCACTGGTTCGAAAATATTTCAAAATTTAAAAAATAAAAATGCCAGCCCTTTCCCCAGCTGTGTGTCCTTTACTGTGTTCTATTATTCCCCAGGAATTTTCTGAATACATGTCTTAGCATCTCATGAAGTTCTCGCCGCCACTTGTTCAGAGCATGTCTTTTGGTTTTAACCAAGTTCTCGCTTACGACTTTGGGGAAATGGATGAAACCAGTTTGCATGTGATTTAAAATAATAGTTTTCCTCCCAGTAATTAAATATCCGTAATATGTAGAAACAGCAGATTTATACACACAATTTTCTAGCTTTCCACGCTCTTTGCTTGTGGAGTTGGCTTTAAATTTTTTCGTTTGCACTTTGACACTTCAAAGGGAAGAGAAAACAAGTGTAGGTGTACCTGACATTTGGTGCTGGCCAGCTTATCTTCATATATTAACCATTAACTTTCTCTGGCAACGGGCAGGCTTCCCAGGCTGGAGACTTTTTTTTTTTTTTTCACTGCTGCAAAAAGCTGATAATGGACTTGAGCTGCCCTGGCCAGCAGTACCCGCCTATGTGTGTGTGCGTGCACACACACACACACACACACACACACACGCATGCATGCACGCGTGCACACACACACACACATGCATGCACGCGTGCACACACACACACATGCATGCACGCGTGCACACACACACTTGACGTAATTTTTTTTTTAATTGCAAAGTTGTATAATTTAAATTCCAGTCCTTTGAACTTAGAGAGAGTGCCCCCGTGACTTCCTGTGAACACACAAGTTGATCTGGCATTTATCCCCCAAGACAATGAAATTAGGAAAATGCAGACTGCACTCCGCCACATTCAAGTGAAGGTTCCACCTTTAGGAGATTTTTAGGCCTCAGAACACTTCAATTAAGCATTTTTGATAAGCTAGCCAAGTTGGGTGAAAGACACAATGTACGTCCTTTCGCACGTCCTCTGAATATTTACAGCCGCCTGTCCTCCCCCAACTGGCACTATCGGCGAGGAAAATCATACTTAACATCAGTTTAAATAAGGGAATTTTTTCTTTTTTTAATGATCTGGCCACTCATGGGTGGATTAAAGAGCAACACACACTGGGTCCGATTTGGTTAACGCATCTGCTGTTTTTTTTTTTTTAGAACGTAGTCGACATTTGGATTTAAAAAAAAAAAAAAAGTTTTAAATAAACAGAGACAGAACGACGCAGCGGAACCCTTCATCACTCTACGTACGACACGGACAGAACGTCAGCTGGTTCCACTCCGAGATAAACCCACTTTCTCAACAAAATATCATTTCCGCGGGACGGGGTGCCCCAGGACTACCGTCCCGTGTAACAACAAATCATTAGTAAAGTAGTACCGGTTACCGACAGTGCTGTGTGTGTGCGCTCGTCACAAGGGAACCGACTACGTTTCCGGAAGCCGAGAGACTCGGAAACACTCGAGACAGGGCCCCTGTTACGAAAGTAAACAGTGCAAACAGGAAAACGGACGCAACCGTAGCAACGCCGGGGGCCTCCCCCCTGCACCCGCACCCGGCCGGAAACCGCCCGGGAGGGTGCGCCCTCCCGGCGCTGTGCCCCGGCAGGACCCTTCCCTTCCGGAAGTGAGCGCAGAACAGAAACCCCGAGAAAGGCACAGGCTGAATGCAGGACCTCGGCCCCGTCCCGTCCCCACCCACCCACACCCAGCGGGCCTCCTCCGGGGGTCCTCGAACCCCCGTCTCTGGCGACCCCTTCCTTCCCTCTGCTCCCGGGACAGGAAGAAGAAAACAGCTTGGGGGGGGGGGGAGGAGAAAGAGAGACGGGGCGGCCCGGAAGTCCGCCGGGGGGGCAGAAAAGACGAGCCCCCCCACCCCCGCCTCACTGTCCCCAATCCCCGAACCCGACCTCCCGCTGAGCACGATCTGCTGCTGAGCACGTCGGGTGCCCTCCGCGCCCCACAACCAGGAAGAAAACAGCTCAGGGGGAGGGGGAAGAGAGACGGGGCGGGCAGGAGAGAGAGCGGCGGCCCGGAACGGTGCTGGGGCGGCAGGGACCGGAAGTCCGCCGGGGGGGCAGGGAAGAGCGAGACCCCCGCCTCACTGGCCCCGGGGGAGGGGGGGGAGAGACGGGGCGGGCAGGAGAGAGAGCGGCGGCCCGGAACGGTGCTGGGGCGGCAGGGACCGGAAGTCCGCCGGGGGGGGCAGGGAAGAGAGAACCCCCCCAGCCTCACTGGCCCCAGGCGGCCCGGAAGTCCGCCGGGGGGGGCAGGGAAGAGCGAGACCCCGCGGCAGAGCCCCCGCCTCACTGTCCCCAATCCCCGAAGCCGACCTCCCGCTTGTATCTGCTGGTGAGCACGTCGGCCTTGCGCGTCAGCTTCGACAGCACGGCGTGCAGCCCGCGCAGGTGGAAGCGGAACTGCCGCTCCAGGTCCAGGTCTTCCTCCTCGCCGGCAGCATCCGGGCTCTCCAGGGGGCGACTCAGACCCCCACGCGTGTCCGCGTCCGTGCACTCCCACGCGCTCTCCGCCGGCGGGGACGACGGCTGCTGCTGCAGGACGCCCCACTCGATGTCGTCGCGGATGGACTTGAGCAGCACGTAGTGGCTGTACATGTCCCGCGGGGAGGGGGGCGGCGGCGCGAAAAAGCTCCCGTGGGCGTGGGCGCTGCGGCCGCCGCCTCCTCCGACCTCCACGTCCACGCCGACCTCGGTGTCGTCGTTGTCGTCGGACTCGGACACCGGCACGTCGCGCAGCAGGCTGGGCACCAGCACGGTCTGGTCCATGGTGTTCACGGCGCCGATGAAGCGCTGCATGGCGTGCAGGAGCGAGCGCTTCTGGTTGGAGGAGCTGTCGCAGATGTGCATCATGGTGGCCGGCCGGGCGGGGAGCGGGTGTGCGGGAACCGGGGGCGCTGCTGCTGCTGCTGGTCAGCCGGGACGGAAGCAGACCGCCGGCGGTGCCTGGGTGAGGGCGCCTGGCTGGCGTCCCGGTCCGGCCGCGCGAGGCTCCTCCCACCCCGGCTGCTCCTGCAGGGCACTCTGGGAAACGTAGTCCCACACAAACACTCTGCCGGGCCACAGAGACACCCCCACTTCCGGTCGCCGTCCCAGAGCACTCTGGGAAACGTAGTCCCACACACACTGCCGGGCCACACTGGGACGCTGCTGCTGGTCAGCC